GAAGAAGCTCTCTCTCTCAATATATTTGGTCAGAACTCTTCGACAAATGAACTAACAAAATTGTTAATTTGTCAGAAAGTGGGAGGCCAGACGCTTGTGGCTAGCGTCGTCCAAATTTGCAGGGGGAATGGTCTGGGGTACGGGCCACTCATAGACTGGTCGATGTAGAACTTAAGTTAAAATCCTTTACGAAATATTACTAATTATAAGCACCCCGATATTCCATTTTCAGGGAGTCTTTAATTAACTGAAAGGAAAAATGTGGCGTGTGGTTAACGTAGAGTTATGGAATTAAAATAATGTATAAAGGAAGAGTAGAAGTACAGCATGATTCCAATACATTTGTTTCACTGCTTCTTGAGGGGAGGGGGGACGAAGAGGGGAGATAGAGATAGCTTGGTAGATAGCCAGAGAGAGAGAGAGAGAGAGAGTGTAGAGAGGTGGACCCGGGCAACGCCGGATACACCCCTTGCTATATTATAAATAAAATACTATTATTACTATTACCAGTGTATATGGTCACTCGTCTCCTGGTGGAATGTCTTGATTTTCAAAACATTCCGGATTTTTAGGTCATTCAAGAATGATTCCAGAACTGATTCCAGGATTGTCCCAGGACGCCAGGTGACCCTCGATAGCATCTTCAGTGTGTGTGTGTGTGACTCCCCTGATATCCCTCGTTCAGTCTCGTACTGATATCTGGAATGATATCTTGTAACTCTTAATTATTATATTTCTAACGAGAAACATATTATTTAACATAATTATCGTTCTCATAAACGTGAACGACGAGTCTTTGACGCGATGAAAACATTTACAGGAAAAAAATTATATACCTTAACCCTTAAACTGCGCATGGCGTATATATACGCCATGCGAAGCATGTCCCACGGTGCGCATGGCGTGAAAACGAGACGAGGATATGTGTGTGAGTGTTGGGATCCTGGGCGGCCAAGAGCCTCCCTTGTACCAGAGGTGCGTAGGTACTCTAGTAGGTACCGAATTACCGCGGTACCAGACGTGTGCTGCTTACCAGTGGTAGGTTATCACCAGTGGAAGTGCTGCCACCTGCGGGGGCGCTACCACTGATGTCTGGTGCGGGGGGCGCGTGTCGACTGTTTTTAATCAGTGGTGTGTTGGATGTCTCTTCTCAGTGGATCTGTTTCTCCTGCCCCTGTGGACATGTGTTCATTTCTCTCCCCCTGGGAATCTGTTTCCCCCCCTGATCGGTGGATCTTTCTCATCTTCTCCCCAGTGGACTTGTCTCATCTTCTCTAATCCTTCTCAGTGGACCTGTGTTTCTCCTTCAGGTGGGGGAGGGGTATCTATATCAGGTGGAGGTTCTCGAGTCGTCCATTAGCAGAATCTCCTCCCTCTGTCACCTGCTGGTGATTTCTCCGAGTCTTGTCTTACCTTATCTTATCTCCCCTGCCTCTAGGCATAGCTCTTACCTGACCTCTCATTTATAGGCCTCATTTTAACCCATCGTATCTAGCCTAATCATACCTAGCCTAACCATCACTTAGCCTACCTTAACTTACCTTTCGTAGCCTACCCTAACATAATCCCACCTTGCTTAAGCATACCATACCTGACGTGTCCTACCCTAATCTAGCCTCCTAACCTTCCCTTACCTAGCCTCACCTAGACTAACCTTGCCTATCCTAACCTAGCCTGACGCTGTTCTCCATACGGTGAGAGACTGTTCTCTATACGGTGAGAAAATGTTTACTATTTTCTCCCTACGGTGTATGGTATACTTCTCTCACTGTTAAAAAAGTCTCTTCTGTTTTTGACACTAGTTAAAACGGACTATTTAAAGGATTGCAATACCCAGCTCGAACTTAATTGTTTGAGCAACAGTTACTAAAATGTTATTTTAATCCGATTGTGAAGTGAAGTTAGTAGCGTGTGGGAGGTAATGAAGGTTTTTGGCCTCTGTGTGTGTATGGGCTTCGTGGCGTTGGTGCAGTCGACACCTCGCTGTAGTGGCGGGGAACTGCATCTGCCACAGCTGTAGTGGTGGTTGTTGTTGATGTTGTTGTGTCAGTAATCCTCCTTTTATGAGCATTCATTTCTATTTTTGGTCGATGGCGCCGAGAGGTTGGAGAGAGAGAGAGACTTTTTGTTTTTCTTCTTTTTCACGGCCGTTGTGATGTAAATAACTTGTTTGGGAAGGATTTCAGTATTATAATTATTTTGTCAAGCTCGTCCCTTTGTGCTCCAGTGTTACTTTACTCGTCC